TGTCAATTTGTATAGAATCCTGTGTATTTCCCCGCAATGTTAGCGACGTAATATTTTAAATCATTATACACTTATAAATGATAAATTGAGAAATGTTGATGAAAAAAATGCATATTTTCATTTTCCGTACTGTAAACACTGTATTTCACTTTAAACATTTATATACGCCCCTCGTACAAATCAGATAGCCTCGTGTTTCGGTGCTCTTTCTATTACGTATCATAGTCAAACATAAAAACACGTTCCCTGTTGTCACAATATGAAATCCCGGGAAAAAGTAACCAATGAACGAGCAACAGAATATGATATTTCTGTCGCTTTCCCTTTCTCTGCCGTCACACTATGTAAACCCCAGCAAAAATGAGCCAATCAATGGGCATGCTCTGGAGTGCGGTAACTATAATACCTGAACTCCAGTTAACGCACTGTGCATGTATGTCTACGATTTAATTAACTCTGACACATTTTCAACAGAAAGGTCCCCAAACTATGATACAAAAACTATGATACAATTATAGAATAAAACTTGAATATTCTCCAGTTAATACCATACTAAGTGTTTCTGGGTTTTTAACTATTTTTCTTATATATTTTTCATCCTTAAATATGCTAAATTTATCTAATGGACATGTAACCTGTGCATTACGTTGGTCGCAACATGTAGTGATTTTTCACGCTCACGGCCGGCATTCGTGGGAAGCAAGATTAACGATCCTCTGTCCATGCCTGAGAGACTAAAAAGGTCATAGAATTTATCAGAAAAACCCCTGTATTGTATGATAAGTCGCTGAATGAGTACAGCGGCACAGAGCCTTAACTGGTAGGTTCCTGTTTTCTTTCTTTTTTCCTTTTTTGACAATATTTCGAATCCATAAACTTTGTCTTCGTTTGTGCTTGTGTGCATGGAGGAAGCCGAAACTACTCAAAAGAGCCAGAAACGGCGAGCATTCATCCATACTTTGGGCATGTTAGTGATTTGCTTTTTACGCACGCTAGACAGATGTATGGAATAGTGTGTTCGTGAAAAATCAGGTCTCATGTTGGAGTTTCACGCTTACACATTCACGTTGCGCTCACGTATGAATTGAATACCGGCCGCTATTTCATTGCTACGCGATCCGCGCCAGGGACATGCCCATGAGTATTAATCCATGGGTCACTCATTCTCAGTAAACCACGACACTTCAGAAATTATAGACTTTAAAAAAGAACTTTCTTGTATATTAAAATTCTATTCCTTTTCAAAATTAATATATATAGTAGTATCTCGACATCTTAATTGTAAAATATTACCACTAAAGATGTCCTAGATTTTTTCTTACAGAACCAGAAAATAAACATGGTCATTAAATGTGTGCATTTGGTACGGCGATTTTATTTTGTCTCTTAAAATAAAATTTCTAAAATTTTGACAGTGCCTACTTATTTATTATTCAACTGTCAAAAGTTTAATAATTTACGTCATCTCATATATTGACAATTTATCAAGGACTCGTAAATGATTTCCAATTTTCAGACAGAAAGAAATGTTAATAGGGCCTCCTTGGAATATCTTTTTTTATAATGATTTAAAATTAACTGATAACTTAAACTTCTGTGCATGTCATAGCGGAGGTACAGTGCGAATAACCATAGAAAGGATTTCATAATCAACCACAATCAAAGTGACCTGCACATTCCGGAAATTGAACCCGGGTCGCCCGATTCACAGTCCAACTCTCTACCTAGTGAGATTACCTAACGTAAAATGTATGTAAAGGGCTGTTTATATAAAGGTAACAATGTTTAAATCAAATTTTCAACTTTTTTAATTTCAATTGCACAAGTTTATCACATAAGAAATCGACAGATTTCATTCTTCAACTTCATATCACCACTATATAACATACTTCATTTCACAATCCTGCGAATAACACTGTCACATTATCAATGTTTTATAACAACCTAAACCAAAAATTTCAAAATCAATATAAGTATAATAACAAAATCTGAATAAAACAATAATTCTGATGCTTATAAATGCTTTCATTCTTTTCAAAGTATCACACAAACCATTCAATTCCCTTTATTATCATTATACATGTATATTAATTACAGAAACTGTAATGGACCATTCATTTTAGGCCTAAATTGATATGGAATGGACACATCCCTTATTCCCATACTTGTAAAAACGTATTTCAACAGTCATAGGTTCTAAAGTATGTTCCTTATACATATGAGCCGCCCCATGACAAAACCTATGTATAATAGTGGGATTGCAACCAGCATGGATCCAGACCGTTCTGTGCATCTCTGCTTTTCTCTACTTGTTACAGGTTTGTAAGCAAACATCAGGGATTCTGATCACAGACTGAGTGAATTATATGGATAGTATTTCTGTAGTCAGTCTACAATGTTTCATAAATAATAGGAGAATACTGTCTATTGTACATGCTCATCATGTAGTAATGATTTTTTATAATGCTGCATGTTTGTAGCATAGCTTTTTTATTGGATAATTTGTGGCATGAATAAAATTCATTACTTTTTCTCTCTCAAATATACTAAGTTTGATGTATTGTAAATTCGTTATAAAGATTATTGACAAGTTATAGGGCAGTATATTATATGAATAGTTGTTCACAATATATGTACATGTAACAAAAGTAACTAATACTACATGTATACTTATTCGAAACTGCCTTTTGCATTAATTTTCCCCCAGTATTTTATACATATTCAACAGTTTAACCAACCTGTAACAAATATATAACAGAAAAAAAAACATCATTATAATGTGGTTAAGAATGAATGTCCTTTAATTAATTCAAGGGACATAATCGTCTTCAATGGCATTAATGAGCAGGTATATAAACAGACTATATTCTATAATGGCGATCAGACACCAGAGATATTTTTGTTTCTGGGTTTCTACCATAAATGAGACCCTTACCCTATCATAACTTAAACAAGCAATTATCATAGTATTGCAAGCAATCCATAAGTCCCCTACCGGTAAGAGCCCAAGCAACATTCTGAAGGGCCATTGGCCATTCACTTAGGTTCCTATTTTAAGTAAATTTGTTGAAAAAGTTCTTTAAAAGTGATCACAGGAAACAGTTTTTATGTACAGACAGACGTACTGAAGGACACTCTAAAGTTATTTTTTAAACATCCCTGTTATCAAAATATAACATTTTTAAAATCCTATCATGATTGAAGAAGTTGGAGTAAAAATTACCAATTTCTCAAAAAAAAGTCTAAGTTCAAAAGGGGCATAATTCTGGAAATAGTCTTGCTAGAGTATTGAACACTCACAAATGTTGAGTGACAATAAGAAACATTTATATGAAGTTTGAAGTAGATACATTCAGAAAAAGAAGTTACTAAAAAAAACAATGTTTTTTTCATGAAAATTTTAAGTTCAAGGGAGGTAATTCTGATAAATTTTGTGCTAGAGTTGTAAACCTTGTCACATATGATGTGGTTGATGACAAGCAACTTATATTTAAAGTTTGAAGAAAATACCTTAAGAAATAAAGAACTTATAGTGAAAAAACTTAAAAACTAGAATCAGAAATCTTGAAATTCAGTCTATTTGTTGCCATAGCAACCAGAATTTTCAACATAGGAAGATAAAAAAGGATGTGCATAATTTCCATACTGCCATCTACCCATATGTCAAGTTTCATAAACATATTTTCAGTACTTTTTGTGTTATCACTGGATCCAGGTTATGTGTAAAATTTGCCATATTTTCAGTCTATTTGTTGCCATAGCAACCAGAATTTTCAACATAGGAAGAAAAGAAAAAGACGTGCATAATCTCCATACTGCCATCTATCCATATATCAAGTTTCATAAAAATATTTTCAGTACTTTTTGTGTTATCCCGGGATCCAGGTTATGTGTAAAATTTGCCATATTTTCAGTCTATTTGTTGCCATAGCAACCAGAATTTTCAACATAGGAAGAAAAGAAAAGGACGTGCATAATCTCCATACTGCCATCTATCCATATATCAAGTTTCATTAAAATATTTTCAGTACTTTTTGCGTTATCGCGGGATCCAGTTTTGTGGACGGACGGACTGACGGACGGACAGACGGACGGAGGGTAAACCTAAAGTCCCCTCCGGTAAACCGGTAGGGGACTAATAAAATATGAACATCTAAAACAGCTATGGCATCATAAATTTTAAAGAAAAAAAAATACTTATAAAACTGCTGACTTGGTTGGTCATAAGCCTAGAAAAGTGAAAGAATGAATAAACAAATGACCGAATCTATCAATTAATCAAATTCTAGTGTTGTTTTTTTTTGTTCAAGCATATAACCATATCCAGTTTCTATTTGTGCTCATAAGTTCATCATTTATGGATTTTATTTCACAATTAAATATAATAAAACAAATAATCTTTTTCAGAAAATTAAGGTTTTTTTTGGCAATATTAGGACAATAAAAACAAATGCTTGGCTTTATTTCAATACATAACAACCTTGTAACAATAAATTGAGCAACATAGCAATTTTTATGTTGAAAATTTCTATATACTGTAAATCATTATTAATTGTGGGGCACTATTACTGTGGGTAGGTCATACCATGAATTTCGTCAACTGTAAAATCATTACATTATTTGTATTTTCTTTGAAAAAACAGAAAATAGGTGTAATGGTAATCAATTATCCTAACTGAATAACAATCAAATACAATTTGCCAAGAAATCATCAGTAATCTGCAACTTATTGCAATCAAATACATTTTTTCAAGAAATCAACAATAATCTGTAAATATACTTTTCAAGAAATCAACAGTAATCTGTTATTGTTTGCAATCAAATACAATATGTCACGAAATAGACAGTAAACTGTAACTGATTGCAATCAAATAAATTTTTTTCAAGAAATCGACAGTAATCTGTAACTGATTGCCTACAAATATAATTTTTCAAGAAATCGACAGTAATGTGTAATTATTGCCCTTTTGATTACTTGTGATTATAATTCAATAAACTGATGTAATTTGTGCTTTAAAGTCTTTGAGTTCTAACTGACTGCAATCAAATATAATTTTTCAAGAAATCAGCAGTAATTGGTAAGTATGACCCTTCTGGATTAACTGATATATCTCCTGCCTTAAACTCTTTGAATCATGACAGCAGACGGCGTTCTATTCCATGTCATTCTGTAAAATGTTTTTTGAACTTCAGAAGTAACATAAAATAATACATTCACTGGTGTTTTGTAACGTTTACTGGTGTTACGTCTGTCAGGAATTATCCGAGCTGGTTTTGCTGGTACTTGATGTATCCTCTGAGATTTTGTCTATAGAATTGAGCACCTGTGATAACAACTTCAGATTATCCACACCTGACAGGAGCTGCCTGAATAAATTAATAATATATCATTACCATCAAAAAGAGAAATTCTACATATTACAGTGTAACTTCTGAAAACCGAACACCAGTGGGACTAGCAAAAAAGTTGGAATTTGGAAGTGTCCGGAATTCAGAAAAAATTTATTATCTGAACAAATAGAAACATCAGTTGTATAAGAAAACATGATAAAAATATATGAAGATGATCAAATTAATAAAATGGCAAAATTATAGGACTTTAAAAAAAAGTTTAAAACTATATTAAATATCTTTGTCATCTATAACTGAATTTGTTAAATACAATAGCAAAATGTTAATTATCACAATTTATCCTTTAGTATATTTCATGTAGTACCAGCTATAGATTTATTAACCTTATGTCTTTGTTGTTTTTCTTCCCATTATACTTCTCAGTCGATATCCGGACAATTCCCCTCCCGGACGATTCCCCTCCCAGTAAATTTGAATGTTTTTTCACAACCCGGACATTTCCCCTCCCGTTATTTTTTTACGGCGGACAATTCCCCTCCCAATTTTTGATCAACCCGGACAATTCCCCTCCCGTTCTTTTAACAACCCGGACAATTCCCCTCCCGCTGTTGTCAGAGCGGACAATTTCCCTCCCGTGGCTGTTGAATATATATATTATATAATATTGTTTATTTGAAAGGTATTTTCAATCGGCTTTAAATACATTTTGCTTATCTCTAGGGCGGACATGCGAATTGTATATCCTGAATTTTTATACATGAATATAAACAAAACAGAACGCATTTTTTAAATAATCTTTATTTCGTCAATACATTCACCATATTGAATCAGTACATGAAGTCCTAACACAAAATATCAGTGATCATTTTGATTTTATATATGATTGAACACATTTGTAGGAATATTCGCCTTCATTTTTAATTGGTTTTGCAATCAAGGACACATTTAATTAAGGGCGGCAATGATTAAAGATTTTTTATTGACAGTTTGTTTATCTTATTTTAGCATCGGCGGCATTGATTAAAGGAGGTATAATGTCACTTTTGTGAAATAATGATTGTTAAAAGTTCCGATCTTTAACAGTTTATTGTTAAGAGTAAAAACTGTCATCTTTAATAAGAATGGTTATAGATTTTTTTATACGCAATGGCGGCTATGATTAAGGGCCGTATAATGTCACGTTCCGCTCTGTGAAAAAAACGGGAGGGGAATTGTCCGCTCTGCTAAAATAACGGGAGGGGAATTGTCCGCCCTGTAAAATTAACGGGAGGGGAAAAGTCCGCCCTATTAAAATAACGGGAGGGGAAATGACCGGGTTGTGAAAATAATATGGAAGGGGAATCGTCCAGGAGGGGGATTGTCCGGGATTCTTCTCAGTCTTATAAGTTTCACACTTCACCATAATCAATTGTTTGACATGCTTGACAGGTTGTGATTCTAATAGGTGTCAAGATAATTGGTAATTACTTATTGGAGGATACTGACAACAATCACAAGTATCATATATCTCCACACATTTTCCAGATTTTGGAAATAAATTTGAATTGATATAACCCCAATTTTACCAGATAATCGTTCAGAATTCAGAATTTAGAAGTTCAGTTATTCAGAGGTTTAAATCATATAAAACGGGAGAAATTACGGGACCCTGAAAAGTTTTCGGATTTCAAAAGTTTCCGGACTTTAGAAGTTCTGGAATTCAGAAGTTACAATGCATGATTTTGTATGTTTGTTTGGCTTTACAGCACACCAACACAATCTAGGTCTTATAGTGCCAAAACAGGAAAGATAATTTTGGCAAACCTTGGGTGTAACTAAGTTGAATACAACACTAGGGGTTAAAACCACCTCACCTGCTGGACCTAAGAGATGGATACACTCCAGTTATTGGAACTCATTTAGTCATCACTTATTATCATGCATGGATAAACAGTGGCTGCAATTCTTTTGCCTCAACCATTAAAGGCAAACCGCAAGAGGCAATTAAAATCAAACATAACCTATGTCTTATTATAACACACTAAAAAGCCAAATGACTACAATCACTGATATCCTTCAAAAGTTATGCTGCGGAAACTAATTGTAGAAACTATTTGCAGAAACTAATTGTCAATAGACAGACAGACAAATACCATAACATAATATATCCGTAAGGTCTTAGGGCATATAATAATGTCAGGCCCCTATCCCAGTACAAAGCATATCTGACACATTTTTCAGGACTCAGCCATCTGTAACTATGGTAACAAGATTGAACCTTACCTCAGAGAAGTTTCAGCAGTTTTTGTAGCAGACGACAGTTGCTCGGCAACATAACTTGTTCTCTCTTTCACATCATTGAGATGTTGGTCACTAGACAACATTCCATTCTCCCCTCTCAATGACTTTATCTCTGTCTGAAATAAAATATGTAAACATTTTCTTCAATAATTGTGATAGTTTCTAAGTTTGGCTAACTTATGTTATTCGGAATGATTCCACATTCAATGCTACTATACTATAAAATTACAAACTACAATAATTCAAAACTGGGTTTAAATGGGAGAGGCCTAGGACTTTCAGCATACTTAAAAGCTAAAAACTTAAGCCATGTGAAATTTTAAACCTGAGATAATGTCAGTTTGGGCGGAAGGAAACTGTGAAAATATGTTTAAGTTGTTATTAATATCAATTTAGCATGCAAAATCTTAATCAGTACACAACATAATAATTTTTCAAAAATATGTCCTAAAATTATTGGTCTATATCTGTAATCTTAAATAAAGAATCCAAATAAGAATGTAGGACAAAACCCCACCAGTAAAAACCCCACCACTCAAAATTTTATAGAGTGGACAAAACCCCACCACTAAATTTTACAGAGTGGACAAAACCCCACCAATTCAGTTTTATAGAGTGGACAAAACTTTCTTGTAAACATGTTAAAAAACAAACAATTGTGCATCAGCAGAAACTCATAAGAATGTGTGAACAACTCATCAATAAGGAGAAGACTGTACCTGAGTTTCTTCAGACTATTGGCCACTGTATCCGCTTATATTACGTACAATGAAGGAAAATAGACTAAACTGAATAAACTAGAAATGTTCTATACAAAATGAGCTATTTTTAATCATTATTTAATGAAAATGTGCTATATTTTTGATTAATAGTAAGTAAATAACTTGAAGAAATGAATTTGAAGAAACTAATAATAATGAATAATTCAAGGTCATAAATGTGGCACAATCTCAAATAAATGACTACTTAACAGTTTGTTAATTGTTTGTATAATCTCATTCATTGTATTATATTGCTATTGAAATAAATAGATAGATTCTTTAATTATCATGTTTTGTTCTTTAGGGATTTGGATGTGAAGTGGTGGGGTTTTGTCCACTCTGTAAAATTTAGTTATGGGGTTTTGTCCACTCTATAAAATTTAGTGGTGGGGTTTGTCCACTCTATAAAATTTTGAGTGGTGGGGTTGGTGGGGTTTTGTCCGTCTTCCTCCAAAGACATGTGCAAAGTATCAAGTGAATGCCTTTAGTGGTTTATTGATGGTTCTGATTATTCATTTGTTCCACTGTTTTATTGTTTCTTATTTTAAAGGCCCACTTTGTCCCAGAAATAATTTCAGTTTTCAAAAGCTTTTTTTTTAGTGTTCTGTTATAGCTTCCAAAAAATTGCTCATTGGCCAATTACCTGAACCATCTTTTGCTCTGTTGCATTTTGGCAATTAGTAGTGATAGGGATTTAGTATTTTGCATAGAAGACAAAATTCTACTTTGTTTACATTTTGCTACTTCCATAAAAAGATAATTTCACATTCAGCTCTACTTTCTTCAGGTGATAAGCATCTAACATGCTCTAAAACAGTATTTAAACATTATAAAATGTTTGCCCTATCTAAAGAAGGAAATACTTATTTGTTTCTGAGACATAATGTGCCTTTAAGTTTACCTACATCAAGATCAAGAAGACAAGTTCTTTGGCTTAGGCCATAATTGTTTCTACCATCTCTAACCTATCATCAATCTAAAGTCATTTTAGGAATTTTTGCAGTTCACCTTTTGGCTTTAGCACAGCTATTGGATTCTCAAGTTTACAGATCTTCTATGTTGACCCTTGACCTGCTATATTTCTATAATGGATCTGGCTATATTTCTATAATGGATCTGTCCAGCTTTGAATTTAAAACAGTCCATTCAAAGTACAAGGGATTTTAATATCAAAAGACAAAAATTGAGCTTCTTACAGTATAGAGCCTGGTCTCGTGGAATGGAAGTGCAGGCTGGCCTGGCTCTATACTGGTGGCAAAGACTAATCACTTTAGATTCCAGCAGGTTAAGGGTTAAAGTCCACTTTAACTTTAAGTGTCGTTTGATTAAATCATCTAAATCTAAAATTTTTGTTTGCAAGTGACTACAAATTAGTCAAATGCAGCAGCAGCCATCTTGAAAACACTGAGGGGTGTTTACATCATTTTGAAATAAGGGAGGTAAACATGATAAAGTACCATTTAATTACCTGCAGAGTTTTCACCTCTTGTTTCAACTTTGTAACAGTAGACTCGGCAAGTACTGCTCTTTTCTGGAAAAGCAAAAACAACAGCAAGTTTCAGCACTGAGAAAAACATGCTTTCTCTTGAACAGAACACAAACCCTTAGAATACGATGTACTATGTCCCAGCTCTTTTATGTGAGCTACCCAAGTGCTTAAACATTTAACTTTTTGTCCCGAATATGTGAACAGGTCTATTTTGTCACATACTTCCCTGCGATATTTATTGGGTACTGGGACAAGAGTAAATTGCCTGAAGTAACATAATCAAAACCAATATACATATACATTCACCAATGTGGTAGCACGGTTGATCAGGTGTAATTTTCATGACCTTTGCTTGCTAAGTACCATGTTATTTAATGTTAAGTCAGATGATGGTTAAATATATGGTCAGGCAAAAAGCCTAGAACCGCAGTTCAAAAATGACAAGCTTACATCACCTAGCTTCTGTTTCATTTATTAGATTTAATAAAACGATGTAGAGAGTTTAAACTCTGGGTTAGCATCATATTTAGCTTTAAAGTATTTAAACAGTGATGTTACACTGAGAGTTATATACTATAACAGTACAAAACTTTAGGCTGCAGAAGTAACCGAGAGAGAACATTATGCTATCTGACTAGGATACAAACAAGCAACCATGAGATGGTTCCCAGCTCTTCTAAATTTGCTGTTTTTTTTTTTAAACCTCTCTTTTATAACCATATACTATACTATCAAATTCGTATGAAACAAAAGTTTTTGCCTGATCACCGGAAACAAGCAGACCTATCAGTGGATACATGTAAACCTATCAACCTAACACAAAATTCTCAACATTTTGAACAAGGTAACACCTTACTGTAGTAGCTGATAGATTCTGTTCCACTTGCTCCATGGCATATTCCATAGCCTCAGTGATTTTTCTCACTTAATTGGGAAGAGGCCTTAGCCTCTTGATTTTGGGAAAAATTATCGCTAAAATTGCCAATTTGGGAAGAAAAAAGCATGTTTAAGTTCTGGTTTTTGGGAAAACTGCATGATTTTAAAGAAAATTTCAATTGGGAAGAGGCCCTTTTTCGGAGTCTGTTATATAAGCAGGAAAATCACTGAGCCTTTGTTTCTTCCACTTCCTTCTTCTTTTGTTCAACCATTTGACGCTGAAGTTCTGAAATTCTGAAAATCATCACTAAACAATCTGAATGACTGTCATGAATTATTTTTGATACTAAAAATGAACAAATGGAAAACTGAACTGGACATTTCATCTAAAGTTTAGCAGACACACAAAAAAATGCAGATTAACGCTTACCAAGCTAAATGTCTTAAATGAACTAGCCCATTTTTCAATCAGGACAAAATCATTCATTGTATTTTATGAAACATTTTAGTATGAAATTTCATTTCAAAATAAGAACTGACTGAATAGCAAACAGTGCAGACCATGGTCTTGGTTCGCACTGGTCACATGGGCGAATTTATAGCTGCAAGCAGGTTAAGATATACTATAGTAACTTTCAGTTTAGCAAAAGCTGAAGCTACTAAAGTTGTTTTTATTTATCACTATATATGTTTTCCAAGGTCATTTCAGTAAAACACCAGCAAGCAGTATAAAGATCACTAATTTACAATTCATATGACGACATTCCTTCTTTAACATTCGAGTAAGAAGTAAGGTGTCCTTAAGTGAATTATAACAGGAATTATTGGGCATGGAAGTAGAATCACTGACCTTCTTTAACCTTTTAAGCTAGCTAAAAGCTACGTGACATACAAAAATTCATTCAAAGTTCCTTGCGAGATTCAAACCCAGACTGGTGATGGAAGTGTTTTGATGTCAGCAATACTAGGATCATGACTAATTATTGATACCAGTCTTGATTAGTAAAGTCTAGAAATAAGATTACTTTATATTATATATCAAACAAAAAACAAACAAAAATTCACTAAAAAATCTACAGTTTTTTTTCTAATACAAAAATTTATCACAGGTGCCAGAAGTATGAAAATGTATGGGTCTTAAAGAGAAATTCAGTTTGAAAAAAATTATGTTTTCATGAGAAGATATAAAATAAATTATAACCAACATAATAAAAACATAAACAATGGATGAAAAATTATGAATGTACTATGTATATCAAATGTTTCTAAAATCAAGATATAATACCTATCAGCATCCTGTAACTTTTTTCTTCTTAACTCCACCAATTGTCGTTTTAACTGTAGATTTTCATCTTGTAACTGTAATGAAAAATGTTAAAATTACTACAATATAAGTTACTACAATGTACATGTACTACATCTAAAAGTATCCAAAGTTAAATAATCTTGTATTTTTATGGACAATCGGTATAAGACTTTTGTTGCAAAGAAATATGGTGATACAATAATTATGCAATATTTTCATTTTACAGAAACTTGCTTACATATTCTACAATGTTGAGTCTACAATGTTTTTGCTGTCTACTTGTCTAGTATTGTCAACAGAACGTTGACAAACAAAGAACATTTCATTACATGTATTTTCATAATATTATATTGTGAAAATATATAGATATAGATATTATTGTTATATGTTGTAAAAATGCTTTATGATCACCGTTTTAATTAGAATTAAAACAAGAAACATGGCAATGCCATGAAACCAGGTTTTCAATTATCACCATTGTAGATAAATATGTTGTATTTGAAATACAAATACAAGCAACAAACAATGTAACTATGTGCAATGTAAAACATGAATAATGTAGGAGGAATTGCCACTGAAGAAGTGTTCACTATAATATTATGTATAAGGAAAAAAACAAAGGGCCATAATTAGGTCAAAAACTATCCAATCACAAAACCCCGACAATATGTGCCAGGTGCTTGATGACAAAGCTTCTGTGAAAGTTTGAACAAAATCCGTTGAAGAAATGTAGGACGAGTTTCAGGACAGAAGAATTTGTTCACTATAAATTATATTGATAATTCTGTATAATGAAAAACAAGATACAAAGTAGACCATGAAATAATATATCATATCTTTTTTAAATTACCTCCCAAAGATGATATGACCTTTGACTGCCAAAATCAAGTTAAAATCATGTAAACAGGATTTTCAATGTTAATGTCACTGTGACCTTGACCTTGGAGCCAGCCATGCGGAACATGCGTTCTGCACGTCATCTTGATGTGGTAAACTTTGTCTGAAGTTTCATCAAAATTCTTCAAAGGGTTGAAGAGTTACAGAGCGGACAGGATTTTCAATGTTAATGTCACTGTGACCTTGACCTTGGAGCCAGCCATGCGGAACATGCGTTCTGCACGTCATCTTGATGTGGTAAACATTTGTCTGAAGTTTCATCAAAAATTCTTCAAAGGGTTGAAGAGTTACAGAGCGGACAGGATTTTTCAATGTTAATGTCACTGTGACCTTTGACCATGGAGCCAGCCATGCGGAACATGCGTTCTGCACGTCATCTTGATGTGGTAAACATTTGTCTGAAGTTTCATCAAAATTCTTCAAAGGTTGAAGAGTTACAGAGCGGACAGGATTTTCAATGTTAATGTCACTGTGACCTTGACCTTGGAGCCAGCCTGCGGAACATGCGTTCTGCACGTCATCTTGATGTGGTAAACATTTGTCTGAAGTTTCATCAAAATTCTTCAAAGGGTTGAAGAGTTACAGAGCGGACACAATTTCGTTTGACGCCCGCCCGCCCATCCGCCCAGCCCGCCATACCGCCCCCATACCCCATCTAATAACCAGGATTTTCAAAATTGAAAACCTGGTTAATAAAGCTTTACAAAATGCAGTGGTATATAAAATCTAAATTCTTCAATTTAGTTACCAAATAATTTAGAAAGTTTGAGATTAAAACATTCATTCTCTAGTAGTATCAACATCATATACCTTTTGAAGTTCAACATGATTGGTAACCAGAGTATCTACATGTCTCGAATTTCTGGAAACAATAGGAACACTGCCGTTAACATTGTCAGAATTTTTACTTGAGCTCACTGCAGCATCCGATAAAAAGTCTGGTAATCTATTAACTAAACTTCCATGTGCCGGAACACTGTCCTCCGTGTCGGAATTTTCATCAAAGTCACTGTGAACATCGGCACTATTCCCGTGTCTACGATCTGAATCTTCACCATCTTCTTTACTTGAATAATCGGTGCCAGGAAAATTTGTATCGCCAATATCGGGACCATTGTCCGTGATACCTCGGATGGTAAAATCTGGAAGTTCTAAACCTCTTGGAGAGGTTCCGATACCATCTGAATAATGATCTTGCACAAAATCTGGCAATTCACCAGTCACATGTAAGTTTGGCACGCTATGTAAATCATCATCGTCATTATCATCATTCACTGTAGTAATACGTTGTTGCTGCTGTAAAGGACTAGACCTTTCATTACTTTTACCACCACTTCCAGACAAAAACTTCTTGAATGAAAATGGGTTTTCTGATTTGCCTTTCTTCTTTTGTTGCCCTTGTTTTCCTTCATCTGAAACAAATTATTCTAATCATATATTTTGTATTGTGTTTAATTCATTTACACTAGCACCCAAATGAGCCATATGTGCAATCCTCCAATACATGTATTACATAGTATGTTCAATATTATAACAGTAAATAGAAGAATGGCTTATGTGAAACAATCTTTGCTTAGGGAATAAGCTATTTTCATAAGCCTTATTTTTGTTAAGGTATTATGCATTATATGTTGATCAAATCCATTCAAAAAGAAAACTTTTAAGCATTAAATTGTTGCAAACAGTCACTGTATAAAAAATATCAATAAATTCAACACTGAAATTTAAGCATTATATACTTTTCAAGAATAATCACTGTCTTGCAACATCTTAAATGAAACCACCTAAATGAATATATAATATATCCAATAACATATGTTAACTGTGATACTTAAACCATCTTATTTTGTAGTCCAATTGACACATAATCAACAGTTAAATAAGCATAGTGTCAAAATCATATATTTATATGTTAAAAATATACATAGATAAATTTTCATAAAACTATGTTATGACTATGTAATGCTATAATTGGACAAAAAGATATAGTGCACACTAATCTCCAGTTAAGTGTCCCGTTATATTATTTCCCAGGTGTTTAAAAATAAGTCTCTGCTGCCAGGGCCAAAACACCATTTTTGGGGAAGGGGCCTCAGCCTTTTTCCTGGGGAAAATATGCATGACTTTGGCATACTTTGGGAAAAGGGGTCTCAAATTTATTTTAACTTAAACTTTTAACAAGTTTTTCAAAATAGAAAAGCAAAAAGCACTGGGAAATACTAATAAGGCAGTAAAAGACCTTAATTCAACAGGATCATTTAATTTTTGTTCTAAATTTCAAAAGACTGGGGAATTTTGAGGACCAAACTGGGGAAAAAAAGAGGCTAGTTTGGTTGGGGAAGCAGCCTATATTCAGCCTCTACAAAGAAGAGTTTTTTTTGGCCCTGGCTGCCGGGAGTATAAAAGATTGCAGAAATTACTTAATAGTTACAGCTGTTAACAGAATGAGAAAATTTTTGCTTTTATTCCTAATAACATTGGACTTATATACAGATTGAAAGTACTTCACTACTTCTACAACAAGGTTTTAGATGTTAACAAAACAGACAGTGTAATATTCTATAATGTATAACAATATGTATATATTTGATTTCCTATGGAAAATAAAGTCTGTATCAGCATAAATATGATTGAAAGTATCTCTGACAATTATAATCGAGTTAAAAATGCCCACTGATGAACAAATATAACCAAACCCTAGTTAATATCCACAGGAAGAAATTTTGTACTTTCTGTTTCTACACAGTGACAGACTACAGCCATGATATGTATATTATATATAATGCAATGTCTACTTTTACTTCTATAATTTACTTAATTTTGGTGTACTTTTACTTGAATTATTAGAATAAATCTGGTTTACATGTTTAGTTTAGTTAAAACCAAAATACTGTATCTATTCTGTGTATTCTTACTATCATACATGTACCAGTGATTTTCACACTTAATTGGGAAGATGCCTTAGCCTCTTGCTTTTGGGAAAAATATCCCTAAAATTGCTGATTTGTGAAGTAAAAAAGCTAGTTTATGTTCAGATTTTTGGGCAAACTGCATGATTTTAAAGAAAATTTCATTTCGGAAGAGTCCTTTTTTGGGAGTCTGTTATATTAGTAGGAAAATCACAGCATACCTGTGACAACTGAAATGGGTTAAAACTGGATATTCAGATAGACTTAGATGCCACAAAAGGACAAATAACAAGGGATGGACACCTGTACCTTTGAACTGTTTATCATGTCACTTTGCTGACATTTAGCATCATAATAATATTTAAACTGCTATCATCCAGAATATGGACAGATAACAAATTTAAGGCTGCAAAGATATCGTAGAAGTTCCTTATCTCAGACCCAACCAACTCAAACCTTTCATTCATGTGCTGTTATCTTTTTACTAAAAGTAACTAATATATATATATGATGTCATGAACTTGTGTGCATAAAAGCTTAGTTTCTGATAGACATGTCTGCTGATGTCAAATGAAAACAGCTTATAACTTATAGTTATAACTTAATTTATACGGGGAAGTCAAAGACCGGACCCGCGAAGCGGGTCCGGGCTTTGGCTTGCCCGGCTATAGACTACACGTGTATATTTAATTAAAAGAAAATCAAATAAAAAAACAATTAAAAAATATATAGAATTCTATACCTATCAATGAAATTTTCAGTGTCAGTTCTAGTCGGGCGCCGCCATTTACAATGTAACTCAATGATAAAAGGCGGGGTATTCCGATAACGGAACAAATCTCAACTTTTCGGATAAATAATAAACGTCGAGTGTTCCGAGTGAAAACGGAAGCGGTGCATGTAATACCGAATGACAATTTTAAAACGGAAAGAATGAAAGAAACTTTTTAACGACTTCCCCGTTCATAGGCTTTGCCTAATTTCATATTAGTATAGGGATAAAATGAAAATCGTCGAAACGTGTCAGAATATTTCATGTGGGTTGTAGATGGGCCTTCGGGGGGAGGGGGCCGGGCTAATGTCAGATCACAGCGTCTTCCCCTTGGCTAGACTAGGGAGGGCTATCGTCGATTTTTAACTCATGCCCTTTATTGGTCATCTTTACTAGTCTACTGTTTGGTCTTTAGTGAAATTTAGGACGAGTACAGCAGGACGAGTAAAAATTCTAAGCTACTCTCCCTGCAGGAGCCCTGGTCAGCTGGTCATCACAGGCGCTAGTCACATAATCAAATATTTTACATTATCGGTTTATATGTATATAAAGATACCTTTATATACATATATAGACCGATTATGTAAAATATTTGATTATGTGACTAGCGCCTGTTCTGGTCATGACGGTATTAAATTTGTTCTGGAGATTATTTAACATAACAATATTTTTGACATGATAAATGAGTGGAATGCCTGTGTTTATATTCTGTTTCACAAAAACATTTTTACTTTTCTAGTCAAGTTAGCTTCTAGATGAGTTAGCCAGGTTAGCTACAGCCTACCTTCGTCAACAACAACAATTTGCTTGGGTTTATCGCGTTTTCGCTGATTGCTAACATCAGGCAAATCAAATATATCAAGATCATCATCAGCAGATGCTTTGCCATCCGTTGTCACCTTCTTATCTTTCTTAGTTACGAAACTTTTGAATGAAAATGGGTTGTCTCTGTCCGGATTTTGTCCACCTTCCGCCATACTTCCTGTTTTGGGGGAGAAGTTATTTACTCATTTATTTTATTTGTTTTAAATATGGAGCAAATTTTGACACATTATGAATATATGTTATCCGGTTAAAATTTATTGCTTTTTTTTGAGACTGAAAATTGTTTAAGAATATACTAAAAACGAGTATTAGTACTATTAGGTAACAATACTAATTGTTGCTCCCACGATACATCATTCGGAACACTTCGCGGACAGTTCTAATCGCAACTTTTCGACATTTCGGTCATTGGCGGGAAAAAGTTGCGCTTCCTATAGCATAGACTTACATTACGAGAAATGGTCCCTAATTCTAGAGTCACAGTATCTGTGCTCGACCAGCCCAGTGCTCGACCAATATTTCTATTTGTGTATGATTTATGCATTATTTAAGTGAAAAACACTGGGAGTTTGTGTGTGCTATTTGTACCTGACCTGAAACCATGTACAAGTACTCCAAGTTTGATAGAAGATTGGCCATTTTGCAGACAATATTTAACAGTACAAAAATACAATTCTAAAATAAAAGTAGCAGTAAAAACTATTTAAAACACTGAAATAATGATAATTTAGGGCAAATGTGGACAATACTTTATTGAATTGCCTTTACTCCACGGATTTATATTACATAAATGTAATATAAATCCGTGCTTTACTAGTACTCTTATGATTCCAATTGATTAGGTGCTCAAAAATTATCAAAACCCTGTCTTCCATAAAAGGCAGGGGCTATGAACATGTAAACAAATATGGCAGCTGTACTGAAACAAATCGGGAACACACCACTAAAAGGGTACACCATTTGTATATTACACCAATTATCAAACTTAACTATGTTTGCAGAGTCATTTAGTAAAAAAAATATGAGAATAAGTAATCTCAAACACCCAAGTATATGTAAATTCCAAAACATTTATAATTTAATACACTCTTATTATTTGTCAATGTATAACATTTCCTTCGTATCATATTTGCTCTCATATTTACATCTATAGATAATAAAACATAAATGTTTCAAAATAATTTTGAAAAAGAATTGTTGAACATAAAAAGTCATATCTGTTTTTAAAAAATAAAAATTCTGATAGAGATAAAACCGCCTGGTCGAGCACTGGTTTGGTTGCCTAAAAAATATAGTGGTTTTATACACTATATACAACTCCGCGGACAATTGTATCCTGATCTGTGTTGAGCACTGGTACGGTGTCTCTATCTTAAAATTAAGTTTTCATGCTGAACTGGTAATTTTTCAAGCAGAATGAATTGCCTGACACATAAAAATGATCTTTGATGTAGATCTAGAGGTATCGTACGCTATGGTAGCTGATCTGGAACGCTTTTGTGCGTTGTGTTGTCGCTAGCGACAGCACGACAAAACGCCAAACGGCTATTTGTCGGACTTTCGTCTTGTCGTCCTGTCGCTAACGATGCATGCCAAACGGCGAGTTGTCGTGCGGCGTGTGGTCGCAATGTCACATATTGTCGCTCGGCTCAAATCGAAGGATTGGCGATCAAGCGACAGGTCGAAATCGCGACACACGCTGCACGACAACGCAAAGCGCCGTTTGGCGTGCTTCGCTAGAGACACGACAACAATGCGACAAGGCGCCGTTTTGCTCGTTTTGCTAGCGACAAGACGAAAAAGCGCTAACGATATAGGTTGTGTTGTCGTTATCGACAACGCAACGCGCATTGAATGTGTACCAAATACGAAGCTAACAGAGGATTACCCCCCTTTTTATTAAATTTTCTGCTGATCACAGGATTGACATACACTTTTTTTAAAATGCAAATATCCAAGTCATAAATTATGCTAGAGACTTATGAAATATTTCATTTTTTTCATAAAACAATGCAGTGTTAGTTTCTAAATAAGTATGCAGCTTTAATTTCTAATTAAGTTTTCATACTTAATAATACCCCGGTCACATATTCACGGAATACGCCCACGGAAGAGCCACGGATTAATTCCGGCATCGTCCGTAGCTACCCGTACTGGTCAGTAGCTCTCCGTATTGTAACCGTAATCAATCGTTAGTAGTCCTGGTATATCCGTAGCGATCCTTGACAATTTTTGAACATGCACAAAAATTTGCTACGGAAAAATCAACCGTAGCGTATCCCTGCTAGTCCGTATTAAAACGTACCGATACTTACTGGTCCGTACGAAAACCGTACTAGTCCGTACTGATTCGTAGCCCACCAACTTGTCAAGGATTTCCACGGTTTGGTACGGATAACCTACGTTTAAGCTACGGTTTTAATACGGGTTAATACGGAAAGCCACGATCGTAATACGTTGTACTACGGAGAAGCAGGGATTAGCACGGTCTTATACGGTTTATTGCGTTGCAACACGGACTTGTACGGTCCACCACTGTTTAGAACGGATGAATTAAGTATCATGTACTTTCCAAGGGTACTACCTTCTTGTTAAAAACTGACATATTTGCGGGAACATTCAATAAATGATAATTGCCATTTACTGGCTGCAATTTTATATTGAAATGGCTCAGAATGCGCAGGCAGTGGTCGAGCTGCTAGATGACATGCATAGAGGTAAAATATATTAATATCGTACTACAATTCTTAAGTAATAGAGTAATAACATTTAATGTTACACATTTTACAAACATTGGATCGTGAAATTTGAGTAAATATGTACATAAAACGAAGTGTCTCATAAGCCTTGAACACTGACCCTTGAGTTATAAGAAGATTAATTAACAAGCTTTTAACATATTTTTAAAACATAAACATTCACGATAATGAATATTATTGTAAAAAAACGGCACATTTTAAAATTAAAAGAGAAGCAGTTTTGATCAACACTTTTTTTAATGATTACTAGTCAATATCTAATCAGGTAAGAGAGAACAGGCAAGATGGTGGACGTGAGATGGGCTTTTACGAAGACCCCTTCATGTTTAGTATGAGGCTCTCATGGCCGAACTTGTTGAGGACCCAGCGTCGTTCAAGAAATTCACTTTTATCGGACCTGATGTGTCTCTGGGGTCAGACGCGATCAGGCCGAATCCTCTCCGCCGAAATCATTAAACTCTGCAATTCGTTTTCCAGGTGTTCTTTTCTTGTGGGGCATTTATGCAAGAGATTGTGGACGGATGTATTAGGTCCGTATAGATCCGTGGCAATTCGTTCTTCTCCGTATCAATTCGTTCTTCTCCGTATCAGACCGTACTTATTCGTACTAACCCGTGCTTATACCGTAGCAGGCCGTAGTGTATCCGTAGTGCGTCCGTCCTAATTCGTGTCGCTCCGCATCAAACCGTGTCGGTCCGTAACAGTCCGTGTCTCTCCGGGGGATTTTGGTGGTAAATCCGTCGGACTCCGTACTTATACCGTTGTGTGTCCGTACTGGAACCGTAGCGGACTACGGAATTTCACATTTCCGTAGTAATCCGTGAACGATTAGACCGTAGCTCTTCCGTGGCATTATCCGTGAATATGTGACCGGGGCTTTTAACATCCCATTTTCACCCAATCACCTCAGGTCCCATTGAATCTTACGGTTTTCTTGCATTTTTTTTCAAACAGTAAATTTGTTCCCTTTATGTTGCGGCTTCTTGTAGTATGTGTAGATACCGTGGAGACATAGAGAGTTTAATTTAATACTGAATTTATTGAACGAGTTGAATAAAATCATATTATGCGAGCCTCTAGCTTAATTAATTAATTAATTCATTCATTCATTCGTCCATCCATCTATTTTATTTATTTATTTATTTATTTATTTATTTATTTATTTATTTATTTATTTATTTATTTATTTATTTATTTATTTTGTCAATTAATTACAGGGCGTATGCAATATATCTCTTATTCATTTCTCTTTGAATATTATCATTTACAAAATAAATCAAATAATTTGTGTTGACTTTTTTGTCCACATCAATTAATCTCTTCTATCTTCAGCTTAAATAAATTCGGAAGCAAGAATTCCTTCCGATTTTTATTATGTAAAGTCATATTTCGGTTTCCCATTCGGTGTTTCGCAGTATGTCATATTAATGGATAAGAACAGGAACGAATTTCATAAATAAAAGCAGTATTAAAGACAAAATAAAAAATGAACTTTAAGTTTGGTAATTTATTTCTAATATCTAATATTTGTATCTTCTACAGGAAATTACTAATTATTTTGTAGTACGCAGTGGGTTATGCTGTACATGAAAGCTATATATAAATATGACCTTCAAGAAAAACTATTTACGGTCATTTGTTTAGCACTATGGTAATAAATAACAAACTAGAGAGTTTTGCAGGAAATGAAATGCATACGTACTCAACTTCATAAATTTATTGAAAAACAAATTAAGTAGGCCATTTTTACTGTTGTTATATCAAAGTAGTATCTTTTCCGTAGGTTTATTTCCGGTTAAGCTACAGTCTCACTTACATCCCGGCAGAGCCGCGGCTGAGCCCCGGAAGACACCGGGGTGATCCGGAAACGAAAAGGGGTACAACCGGGAACAACCGGGTTACATCCGTAACTCTGTCGGCAACGTCCTGGATGATCCGGGATGATCCGGGAACATCCGGCAATCGACCCCGGATCCCGGATCAATCATTTAACAAGTACTTCCGGGATGATTACGAATAAACGTCGGGATGTTCCGATTGTAACATTCCGAACAATAACATTGTTTGAAATTCGGTCGGAATACCTCACCAATTACAAATGATCAAATACAAATGTAGTTTGAAATTACATTCGCTTAAAGACTGAACTGGGCAAATTTACGACATTTTTGTTAATGAATGTGATATTTCTTCATGTTGAGACTTTGCCATATAAAATCACCTAGTTTCCGACTGTTCGTTTGTTTGTTGTTTGGTTTTGTTATCTATTTTGGTTTTAATTTGTTATCCTCCAGTTCGTATAAATAAATAATGTTTCCGTTTATGGGAGACTTGTATAGGTGTTATATTAATGAGCAGCTTCTATGATTTTATGTTATATTTCAGACGTGTGA